CATATTTATGCATTTGTAGGTGACATAGGAATCCATTGAGTTTGTAAAATTAGATAGAAAAGGGAGGTTGTTTCCAGTATGGAGAATGGTCTAAACTGCTTCATTACTTCCCCTGTCACCATCTCTGACACTTGACTCCTGTTTATTTTCCACCATGCCAGTCATGAATTCTCACTCTGTTATCCACCATACCTTCTCTCCCCAGTGTGCTTTCTTTATTTCTAGGTACTACCGAAGAAAGACTAAGTTTAAATGTGTCCACCACAGATTATGTTATCTAATTCCAGTTTATTGATTCTCTAGTGCATTCTGTACAGTGGCTGTAATGATGTTGTGTTTTGAAACTGTTAACCCCATCCTATCCTCAGCAGGCAACTAATTTGTGTTATGAAATATGGAATCCCCTCTTCTGCCGTCTGCTTTATCTCAGTGTATGTGTGTTACTACGCAGTGGTTTTGTTCACAGTTACCTTGCTTATCATGTTCGGCTTATGATCAGATATGATAAAGAATCTTTCTGTAGGATTTTTTGCCTAGTCAATCCTTCCTTATAGAAGTGGTAGAAAAGTACTGTTTGGAATCAGGAAATAAGTCCTATGGAACAGGGCTAAAGTAAGGAGACCACTTAAAAAAACAAAACCAGATAAGGTTTTCACCTTAAAACTATTGTTTTATGAGGCTGGTTAGTTTTTCTACTGATACGCCCTACTGTTACTCAAAATACCTTTTGAAACTTCTTTTAGAATTTCTTTAGAGACAAATTTTTAAATCATTCTTATTTAGGATCACACCTCATTTAACAACAAAAAAGCACTCATTTTATCTGCCTTTTACCTTGTGACTGAGATGATACCTTGGTGCCCACCCCCCTAATCAGATTCATCTTCAGAAGTTAAAAGGTGTGCCGCCATTGGTAACGTTCAGAACAGTGTTCAGAACAGCAATTTACAAAAGAAGAGTAGCAAAATATTTGGAAAAATGGTAGCATGGTTGGAATAGGTGTTTAACCTCCTTAAGTGATTAAGGACCTTGTAAGAGACAGTGCGCTTTTGTATTTGTGGTCTCTGTGTATATTATTTATACACGCACACACATACATTTTTTAGTGTGTGTATACATTTTGTTTGCAACTCTGTTAATTTTGTTCTGTTTTTAGGGTGCCATTTCTCTCATTGGTCAGAGTAATTGTATTTTCTTCCTGAATATTGGCAAGTCTGTCTAAATTTAGTCCTGCAGCTAATACAGAGGGGGTTACAAAATGGTATTCCTGAAACTTAAAAATAAGCTGACATTTTGACAATTATATTATTAAAATTAGTATTTAACTGGGAAGCTAAAAACTTCCGTCCAAGTCAGAGATCAGAATATAGCCTAATACGAACTCTACTTGTATTAAAATGTTTATAGGTGCTTGTATTAATAGAACTGAAGAAGAGATATGTCATCAAAAGGGGAATACTTAATTTGGGGACATAGAAAAATATAGAATTAGAGAGGCAAAATTACCACACCATTTAAAAACTTCCCAGGTGAAAAGGTGCCTTGCTCCGAGGACTCAATAATCTGGCCCTGATGCAAGTGTGGCCCTACTTTGAGGATGGATTTATCAGTCATCCCAGCCTCTAGTATTCCCTTTGATGAGATTCCGTGCTCCTCAAGTGATCTGATTTTAATTTAGTCACTCTATATACTTTTCCTTAGGGAGAGACTGCACTTGTCAGGTAGTTTTGAACGTTTGGTCTCATTGTATGTTACTCGTTTTGGCATTCTGGTTTGTATATTAATCAGTTGCCTTCTCTGAGTCCTGTCCATTCTGAGATAGTAGCAGGATTGAGTTTGTGCACCTGGGGGACTAAGGGCCATACACTAGGTAAATTCACCAGAGGAATTCAACTGACCTTCGCTTAGGATACCCTCTACACATTATTAACCCTTTACTTTTAATAAATGTTGTCTTTGTATTTGATCATTTTCTCAGTTTCCTCACCCTAGTCATCTCTAAAGATGAAATAGACTGGGCCCTGCATCTTTAAAATGATTTTTAAGAACCTATATGGGGGGAGCATGGTTATGTCACTTTAGGACCCTAGTGATTCTAAGCTGCCTGCTCTTTCCTCAAAGAAATGAGTGATTGAATAAAATGGATTGTATTAAAATTTGCTATTTACTTGATCTTCCTATTTTGGTATAACGGGAGGTACCTATATAGTGTTAGGAATTCCCCTTTATGGTAAATGGCAGCTATTTGGAAAACATCTACTATCTGATTGAAAGCCTTTTTTAAAAAGATCTCCTTACTCTGAGGTATTATAATCCTTAACATTTATTATTTATAGAATGAATATTAATTGAACATTTTTTGAGTACCTGCCCTGTGCCAGAAAAAGTTGTAGGTCCTGGGAATATAAAGATAATTAGTATGTGATCTGTATACTTGAAGGGTGCCTCATTAAGCTGAGAAGATGAATACACATGTAAATAATTATGATAAGTGCTGTATTAGAGGTGTGGAAAAGCAGGAGAAAGTGATTTTTCTTGGAAAGCTAAATCTTAGAAGGTTAGTAGGAATTCCCTAAATGAAGAATTGGGGAAGATAATTCCAGCACGGGAAAAACCATGAGTAGAGGTAGAGAAATGTTTGCTGTGAACATACGTGGCAACTTATGTGGGGAGAGTGGCCTGAATTCCGGCTTAGATACCTGGTGATAGTGGTGAGAGAGAAAGCTGAAGCCCAGTCAGTTGTGACTGGCTTTATTTACAAGGCTGAGAACTTGAACCTTTTCTTCATGTCAGAATGGAGAGCCATCATTCAAATAAGTGAGTGGCATTATCAGCTTTATAGCGTAGAAAAATTACTCTAGAAACAAGGAAGATGGATTGGAGATGGTAACTGAGGGAATGTTTTACAGTAAGAGATGAGGAGGACTATACTAGGACAGTGGGGAGGAGGCAGTTTCAGGATATATATATATATATGTGTATATATATTTTTTTTTTGAGGAGGATCAGCCCTGAGCTAACATCCATGCTAATCCTCCTCTTTTTGCTGAGGAAGACCGGCTCTGAGCTAACATCTATTGCCAATCCTCCTCCCTTTTTTCCCCCAAAGCCCCAGTAGATAGTTGTATGTCATAGCTGCACATCCTTCTAGTTGCTGTATGTGGGACGCGGCCTCAGCATGGCCGGAGAAGCGGTGCGTCTGTGCGCGCCCAGGATCCGAACCCGGGCTGCCAGTAGCAGATCGCGCGCACTTAACCGCTAAGCCAGGGGGCCGGCCCCAGGATATATTTTTGAGGTGGACTCAATAGAACTTGGTGACAAAGTAGATGTTGGGGTTGAGGGAAAACTCATATAAACTCCAGTGGTATCTGGATTAATGGTAATACCATTAAGCAAATTAGATAAGATAGAATTAGAGACAGGTTTGAATATTGGCTTTTGGATATGTTGAGTGGCACTGTGTCTATCCAGTAGGTAGACTGGAGTTTAGGAGAGATTTGGGAACATGGATTAGAAACTGTCTTTCTTGGTAGTAGGCACTGCCCATGTGCTATCTTAATCATTACACAACCGTGAAAGATATGTAGTGTTGTCCCTATTTTACAATGAGGAAACTTAGTGTTAGAGAAATAAGTCATTTGCCCAAGATCACATACGTGTTATTTTTCCACAGTGCTTCTATTAACTATTGCTGTGTAACAAACCACTCCTAAATTTTGTGACTTAAAGCAATAATTTATTATTATCTCTCATTGTTCTGTGAGTTGACTGAGCTCAGCTAAGAATTTCTAGCTTGGGCTTCTCATTTGGTTGCAGTTGGATGGCAGCTAGAACTAGTCATCTACAGCTTGACCTGGCTGTATGTCCAAGATGCCTTCTTTATTTGTGTCTGGAGTCTCAGCTGGAATGGCTGGAACAGCTGAGGGCAACCATGCTTCTCTCCACAAGGTCAGGCCACATGATTAGCCTGGGCTTCCTCGCTCATCTGCATAGCAGTCTTGGGGTAGGTGAACTTGTTACATGGTGTCTCGTTTACCCCAGGGGGGTTCGTCCTAGAGAGCCAGGCAGCAGCTGCAAGGTTTGTGAGATCTAGGCTTGGAAGTCACACGGCGTCACTTTTGCTGCATTCTCTTGGTTAAAAGTGAGTCATGGAACAGCCCAGATTCAAGGCGGGGACTATAGGGAGAATGAGTATCCAGGGGCCATCTTTGGAGATAGCTTCTTCCGCACTGCTGTCTTTGGGAATAGTTTTTAGACAGTGTGGAAATAGATGGGTCCTAAGAGTGCCTTGCTGAAATGTGAAGAGAGTGCAAGAAGACAACTCTGGGAAACATGAATGTTTGAAGGAAGACCCAAGGAACAGGAGTCAGAGAAAAAAAGATGAACATCAAGAGACAGAGGAAGAAAATTTGGAGAAAGTGAGGCCATAGGAGCCAAGTGGGGAGGGAGTCACTGCCACCATAGCCATAGGTCCTTAGATTTGGTTGTTACATTAGAATGGCCCTGTGGTTTAAATGTACGCAGATAGCTTACAATTACCTGTAATGGGGCCTCGCCTTCTGCTACCAGATTTAAAAGGCTGCTCTTTTTTTTCTTTCCCATTCACCCCACCTCACACACATACCCAGCGGATGCCTAAAATACACAGTTAGAACTTAAACGGCTTAGTCCAATGTGAAACATTTATACCTTAAGTCATTTGTAGATTGTTATGATTACATTTGGGATACTTTACTGAGAGTTGGCTTCCATAGAGTAGAGAGAATATAGTGTTTCTGGCTCCTGGAGAGATGAGAAGTCTCTATGTAGCATGAGCTGGGTGGGGAAGGTGAGACTATTGGCACACTTCTGCTGGTCTTGCTAGGATGTTCTTTTGAGTTCCAAGAAGGTCTATAGTGCCATGCACTGAATTATACCACAGCTGGAAAGAATGGATGAAATAGGAAATTTAAAAATTTTTGTTTTTAATTAATAAATCTCTGGTGTTTTCTTTATTTCAGAGCACAAAGTTATCATTGTTGGGCTGGATAATGCAGGGAAAACTACCATCCTTTATCAATTGTAAGTATTAACTACTTTAAAAAATTTATTTTGTTGTTTATAGTTATTTTTTCTGCCTGCGTGGTATTTGATTAATGAAAGCAATAAAAAATTATATGGAACCTAAGTTACTCTGTGAGAAGGCAGATTGGCCATAAACCAGGGGCCAGATTTAAGCAACTGTTTCTAGAAAGCTAGAAAATTATATGACATTGGGCATATTGTTCAGTTGTTTTGCTTATAGAAAGTAGAGAAATATTTGTTTACATAGTTTTCTGGAATGAATCCAGAGTATTCCAGATGTCCACTACCTAGTTCCATCTCTGTTTAAACCTTTAGCTCATTCTTATGAGGTAGGTAGTTGTAAAGGGACATTTGGTTATAAAATCTAAAAGGGGTTTATCTCTTGATTGAAAAATGTTCAAACAGTCTAGCTCCCTTGCTAATTGTAATATATGTGAACTTTTTATTTTCAGTTCTATGAATGAAGTTGTACATACATCCCCTACAATAGGAAGTAATGTAGAAGAGATAGTGATTAATAATACACGTTTCCTAATGTGGGATATTGGTGGCCAAGAATCTCTTCGTTCTTCCTGGAACACTTACTATACTAACACAGAGGTAATGTTTTTTAGTATACTAAAACTTATATAAACAGAATGCTTGGGAAACGCCTTCTAGATAGGAACTCTTATAGTTAGTTAATCTTTTTGAAATATCACAGTGTGTTAATATAAGTAGAGTTTAAACATAGTGGAATCTTGGATCCCCTGTTTCAGGGTCATTGTTCTCTATGGATCCCTGGATATGGTCAGTGGATACACTCGCATTGAACCTCGGTGGGAAGAATTGGTGATTGATTAATTTGATTGTGTATTGATCCCAGAACTTATCTTAAGTAGTTGTTTTTATAATGAACTCTATCTCACAGTTTGTAATTTCATATCTCTCTTACTATTTATTTTGTCTACTTACAGGAAATCCTAGTTAAATGAGAGCGCTCTGGTGGTTTGAGTCCTGGCAAAAATTTTACTGTTGTGTTTTCTTTTGTACAACACAATTGCACATTAAACAATTCATTATCTTTTGGCTATAAAGCAGTTTAGACCTAATCACGTTTTTTTTTTTTAAAGATTTTATTTATTTATTTATTTTCCCCCCAAAGCCCCAGTAGATAGTTGTATGTCATAGCTGCACATTTTTCTAGCTGCTGTATGTGGGACGCGGCCTCAGCATGGCTGGAGAAGCGGTGCGTCGGTGCACACCCGGGATCCGAACCCCAGGCCACCAGCAGCGGAGTGCATGCACTTAACCGCTAAGCCACAGGGCTGGCCCCACATGTTTTTATTTACATGTTATTTCCCAAGAGGAAATTTCAGACCTACAACATTTGAGAACTTTATTGTATAGACCTTGTAAATTGAAAGGCTTTGGTAATTGTTTTTGTAGTGCTGATTATAAGTTAATAAGACTCCAAATGTATATAAAGATGAATATTATGTCATTAAGACACTATTAAGTGTCTCTAACAACCTGATCCCCTAACACTTCATTAAGCATTTGATCATGTTTTTTGGAAAAGGAAAGGTATATGTGGTTAGTACTCCTATTTATAATGCTGCAGGTATCAAATTCATGGCAACACCTTGAAAATTAACAGCGTTATTAAAATGCCTTTACAGCAATAAAGCCACTCATTAGTAAGGTATCAAGTGAGAGAAGAGGTAAAGTAGCAGTTCTCTTATCCATCTGCCTTATGGTTGATGAAATCTGAAGAATAGAAAAGACCCTGAAAATACAGTGGTTTATTTAGAAACGAAAAGCTAGTTCTAAAAAATAAATAGTGCATGTTAGTAATAGGCAGTCAGAATTAACTTGGGCATCCAACATGCCGTCCTGAAGTGACTGTATCTGCTCCTGTTTCCCGTGTGCTCTTTGGCACCTGGAGTTGAGGAGGAGGTGCAATGTGGCTCAGTCCTGCACGGCTCCTTTTCAGGGCTTTTGTTGCATCTTCCAATACTAGTCTTATCATCAGTTCAAAAAAGAGTTGTGCTTGAAGGTAGCACGTGACATTTATATAAGGAATAGAGCATGGTTTTAGATGTTGAGTTATTCTTTCAGTTTGCTGATTTTTAAAAAAATTTGATTTAACTGTCACATTTCTTTATTCCCATACACATGGCCTTTTTAGATTTTCAAATTGATATTAATACTATCTGTCTAGAAGTAACTTAAATTTAGAACGATAATGTATTTTTTTCTTATTGACTTATAGTGTAAATAGATGGATATAGGCCCATTAGCATTCAAGATATTAATTTAGAAAACAAACTTGTGATATATTGGTTAGAATATTAGCAGAATATTCTCATAGAATGTTAACATCATATTCTCTTTTCTCTTATTTTTCTCTTAAAAATTAGTAAATATATTTGAGTTAGAAATGGATCAAACCTTCAGGCTTCACAATGATAAGTAGGTATCTCTGGTTTTCCAATAATACCATACCATAAGGTTCTAATTTCTTGATATTTGTAGCATGTAAATCAAAGGAGCACTTTATAAATTTTACAAATATCAAATTATGTAATCACTAATGATTTTTTTTGTTATTATTTTAGTTTGTAATAGTTGTTGTGGACAGTACAGACAGAGAAAGAATTTCTGTAACTAGAGAAGAACTCTATAAAATGTTAGCCCATGAGGTAAGTAGGATTCTGGCATTAGATGTGTGTGTGTGGTATTTATATCATATTTGTCCTTTCTACTTTCTCGTGAAGATACTGTTTCAAATTTTTAAAGAAGTTATTTGTCTGCTGGCAATGTCTGCTTTATAATTTTGACACTTCCTAAATTGGAAATGTATCTGGAAGCAGTGGAAAGATTGTGGAATCAGTTGTAGAATTTTATTTCATTTATGCTAGGTAAATTTAGTCTAGAAGTTTTCCTGGGCAAAAAGACCTAAATTGGCTTTTATTTTACATTTTTAATAGATTAATTATACAGAAGATTATCATTGGAAATGAGATTTGAAAGTCTCAGGGACACATAGCAAGTCTTGATTGTAACTCAGTTATCAGACTAATATTTAAATGTTGTTGCTCCTCAGTTTCTCTGATACTGTCTCTTTGACTAAACAAAACTATATGACTAGCCACATTTTCTTAGCCCTTGAGAAATATTACTGGTAGCATAATTTAAAATTAAATAAACTGAATAATATAGTCAGTAATGATAATAGTAACTATAAAATCATATAATATTTACTATAGTTGCAATTGATTATTTTTTCATGCCTTTTATTGCAGGGGGTACTTTCTCAACTCAGATTTATAGGTGGAAATAGAAAAATTAATATTTAGATGTAGTATAATTTTTTATTTGAGTGGAATTTAAATAAAGCCTAAGAAAACTGGGATATCTTTATAATGAAGTTTTATATTAATTTTAATATTGATTCAATGATTTGCTTTTGAGATTTGCACTCTAATTGGCCAATATGTAGCAGGATCAGTATATAAAGAGCCCAGTAGTGGGGCCCAGACAAAGTCATTGAATTTGACTAGCTGGGGTATTAATGTGGGCGAGTCACTTAACCTCATCTGTTGTGGGTGAGTACACTGCTAGGGGAAAAAAAGAAAAAGAACTATAGGGCCTGCTGGGAAAGTGAAAGGAGACTGAACGGGGAAATTACCAGAGAAGAAAGGAATTACAGATAGTTGGGAGCTGGAGTAAGCCACTTAATAGGGTCAAGAAGAGCCAAATAGGGCCGGCCCTGTGGCTTGGTGGTTAAGTGCGCGCGCTGCGATGCTGGTGGCCCGGGTTCGGATCCCGGGTGCGCATCGAGGCACCACTTC